CTTTTTCTAGGAGATTTCAGAAGGGACGTTCCGGCCTCGGGAAACGCATATTTTGGACTCCGTTCGTCCTTCAGGGCCATGGTGTTTCCCCGTCCGGGAGGGCCGTGTCTTTGTGGGCACAGCAGCAGCAGCAGCAGCAGCAGTCGCTGTCGCCCTTCAGTAGCATGGGGTTTCCTTACCGGAAGCCGCCTTTTTGAAGGGTCAGCTGCACCAGAAGCAGCAGCAGCAGCAGCAGCTCCCAGTAGCCAGCATCGAGAAACGTATAGCAAGCTTTTTCTAGGAGATTTCATAAGGGACGTTCCGGCCCCGGGAAACGCCTATTTTGGACTCCATTCATCCTTCAGGGCCATGGTGTTTCCCCGTCCGGGAGGGCCGTGTCTTTCCGGCGTCCTTCAGTAGCATGGGGTTTCCTTGCCGGAAGCCGCCTTTTTGAAGGGTCAGCTGCACCAGCAGCAGCAGCAGCAGCTAGCAAGCTTTTTCTATAGGAGATTTCAGAAGGGACGCCTCGGGAAACGCATATTTTGGACTCCATTCGTCCTTCAGGGCTATAGCTTTAGCAGTTTAGTCTTAGGTCTCTCAGCCCAAATGCACATAGATGTGTTGTTCAGTTCAGAGCAAGCTTCATGTCAACTGTCTCGTCACTCTTGCCTGTTTCACCAGCCCTTGATCAAATTGGAACATTGCGGCATCTGCTCAAGGCCTATAAGTGATCTGCATCAGGTATATTTTGCCAGATATTGTGTCACTTTCTCGAACAGTTGCATGGTCCGCAAAACATGCGGAACCTTACGAATGTTTACTTCGGAGAGAACCTTTACTTATTCTTTTCCGGGGTCGGCGGCAGGGGCGGCAGCCCTTAAATATATCCACTATTATTATTATATATCTGGGTAAATTATAATATTTCACTAACCTGAATTAAGGCCATTTGGGGATGATTTCCCTTACTAACCATCATTCCCAGTGAGGTCGCAGTGAGGTCGTTATAATTTTCCCAGATATATCCACTATGATTATTATATATCCACTATTATTATTATATATCCATTATTATTATTATTATGACGAAAACTATACAACTACTCAACTACGGCTCGGCGATCGCCTGAGAGGCCCCTACCACCCAGGTAGCGGCACTGCATGGCGGCACCTGACGCTGTTTCACCGTAGTAAATGGGATCTGAATGGGAACATATAAGGAAAATTATGGAAAATAATGATCAATAAACTGGATTTCAATGGTAAAACCATGTATAAATTAGATGTTCATGGGAAAATCATTTATAAACTAGTGTTTTTTCCTGGACAAATCATCTATAAATTGGATTTCAATGGGAAAATTCCCCATAAATAGAGCCTTTGATAGGAAAATCAACGAACTAAATAGTGAAATGTCCAGCGAGCCACGTCTGATTACGGGAGGGTAAATCTCTCAGAGATTTCCCTGCAAAATATGGGACAATTCACTGGCCCTCTTCCTCGGGGTTGTCAGATCTTCGCAAGTGCTTTTTGTTTCATGTTCTTTCCAAATTGCAGTCCTTGACTGCGCTTGCCGTGGTGAAAGACAGTAAATCTATACCTTCATGCGGGTTTTGGGATCGAGCGTGAAGTCTCAGCATTATCTGAAAACAGAAAGTCTCCCAATTACAACGGATTATATAAAGAATCATAAGTTCCGCATCTTTGTACACCAACCAGATGCTGAGATCGCTGCCGTAGTGCTTCCCTGGTAAGTCACGAAAGACTTGTCCTGGCACCAGTCGCCATTTACTCCATTTGGCTTGCCAAGTATATTCAATTACAAAGATCCTCAAAAACATAATTTGAAAGATTGCCAAATAATCTAAAATGGATAAATCCATGTAAATCCTGAATACACTTTTCAACAATTCCTTAAATACATCCCCATTTTCCGAGTAATCCTTTGCATCACCCCGTCCTCGGAGAGGTTTTTACACCCTTGAAAAACCTGGAATTCTTATGCCATTTCTATTGGTTGGTGAGGATTTCCCAGTGGATTATTACAGTCCCAATATCTAATAGGAATATCCATATTATAGTAACTATCTACAAGTAATAAGAATATCCAAGGTAGTAACTATCTACAAGTAATTCATAGGAATATCGAAGCTAGATAGTATAACTCCCCCACAATCACCAGATTCACCGCAAACCACGAGCACCGGTCCGGTGGTGCAAGGTCGACATAGGGATTGCCAATGACCGTTGAGGGCGACTCCTGGGATCAATGGCATCCCATGAGATCCCATGGCGCAATTCATGGAGCAAAAAAGGTGAACAAAAACAGGGGAAAACTGGAAAACTGTTGGTTAAACGACATGTAAGTGACATGTATATTTATTATTATTTATTAGGCTTTCAGGCAGATTTGATTCTTTCTGCCCCAATGAAAGGAGTTTCAAGGCAGATGTGATTTTCCTAAAAAATAATCCCTTAAAAAAAAGAGTTATTGGAGCAAACATGGGTACCTCAGCATGGACCCCACAAACGGTATTCTGTGGACATGGTTCTAGCATGAAATTTGATTTCATCAGTGGCTCAAGGACGATACGAGCCACAGCCACAGCCACCAATTTGGCATAGGAGCCCCTAAGCATCCAACAGTCTTGTCGTCTTGAGGCATCACAGAAAAGATGGGGTTCAGAAAGCCACTGAAGGCCTCGTGCCAGATCTGCGGAGGGACTTGGAACGTGTAGCTGGGGTGACAAAGGCCTGGGTGAAGGATATTTTTGAGCATGGTGAATATCGTTGGCACTAGACCATTCTTTTTCGGGGTGCAAAAGCTTGAACCATGGCCATGTCATGCCATGTCATGAAACACATGCAAGGACATTCACATCGCCTGCACCTACTTTGCATCTCATTTCCTGGACCCCTCTACTAAACAGTCACAGTCATGCTTTCTCATTCTCAGTAAGGAAAATATGTGTAGTAGAAAATGCCCGGTGTGGGCACTTTGGCAATGGAACATCCATCATGATCCATGGGGATCAAGGAGGGCCATGTTTGATGACCGCAGTGCAATCGATTAACCATCTGTCACCATTCTAAACAATTTATGAACCATTGACCATTGAACCATTACCATCTAGTAAATTAACATAGACCCTGAAAATAATTCATTTGAAGTGGAAACATGTGGAAACATGTGGAAACATGTGGAAACATGTGGAAACTAATCTTCCAAACCCGATGACTGCTAGGGTCTAACCAGCTGTCACCCAGCTCCTCCGTGCTCTCTCGCAGACTCACGGAGACCACAAGTCTCCGTTTTTCGCCCTGCGGCAGCCACGTATCAATGGAATTTGATGTGAAAATATGGGGAAATCCATGGTAATCCATTATCCATGGAGGTTTATAGATGTTTATAGCTGGGAAAAGGATAGGATGACTGGGGTTTTCGGATTTCCTGCAAAATGAGCAGAACTTCTTGGACTCACGTCGTCCAGTAGTCCATCCAGGGACTCTGAAACATTCTGAAACCCTTCAAAACTAAGCTGCTTGATCTTCGAAATGGTTTTCCCCTCGGGACCTTTTTAAGCACAGTGATTCATTGGCGCTTTCACTTACGACTCGTAGATGGGCTCTGATCGGCACTTCCTTGTCATCCCATCTCAAACAATCCCTTCCCCTATTTTTCATAGCATCCAAACGACCTAGCAAATCCTGGTAAAATGTGTCGGCATCTAATTATTCATGACTTGGGGCACAAAAATTGTATATCGGATGGATGGGATTGGTTGGATAATCCATCACAACAAGGCTCAAGGGGAAACAAGGCGAAACAAATCCTCTTGGAACATCCCCAAGTTATAATGGTTGGTGTTTGTGGGGACTTCCAGTTGATGTATAACATATGATAACATATGATAACATAAATATAATCTGGTTGAATCATATTACTTCACTAACCTGAAAATGGCTTTGATGTGCTCTTATCATACGGCCAGCTATGAGGATGATTTCCCGAATCCAATTCATGGGGGCATCCCCAAAATCATTTATTTTATCATGTTAATGGGAGTTTCCATTATAAGTATAAAACATCCATGTTGGAAATCAGTTGCGGAAATGTAAAGGGTACAGTAGCAGATAACACCTAACCTACAGTAACAATCATCACCCCACCAGCAGTTCAAGAAAGTTCGGCCCATCCCGTTGATGCTTGAACCCGCCATGAAAATATATGTATATAAATGATGGGCAAATCCCTATGAAAATGCCTTTGAAACTGCCCATGAAAAAAGGAAAGAAACAAATAAGTGATTTTTGAAATCCTCATCAAATGTGCTTTATCCCAACCCCTTCCAGCAAAAGCAACTCCAATGACCAAGCGACAGAGCAAGGTTTAAGCTTCGAATATTGGCAAGGTTTCCAGATTAGATGCGCACGCAATCCCCATTACAGTTTGTCTGAAAATAGGATACCGATAAAAAATTGATGAGTAATCACAATTTTCATCAATTTTCCCTATGAAAACATATGAAAACTATAGCATATTTTGAGGCATCCCCCATGTTCAGGACACCCATGGAACCAATCGGATCCAATCGCTAGGTGTGGTCTTAATCCCAATGGTTGTTGATGTCCCCAGGTTTGATCACCATCAACCAATCATCATGCATTAATTGTATTGTCATATAATTATATATATAATTATATATATATATCTGATGGCTAAAACCCCTACCCTCTGGTCATCAAACATGGCAATGAAAAATCCAGCATTTAATTTGATGCTTTTCCGACCCATTCCAACCTTCATTTAGTTCAGGCTTTTCCCAGCCATGTTTGATGACACTGGTGGGTCCTGCCCTGATGAATCCTCCAAGGGCCTGAAGAAAAAAGGCGCTTTCCTCATGGTACAACTGAACCTCCATGGCGTTATGAGCACCTTCCACCTGTGCACGGGGCAACAAGAACACACCAGCCCTGGAGGAACAGGAATTGGATCTGGATTGGCTTTTGTTGGGATGTTTTGTAACGATCAAGATGATCAAGTAGTATTGGGATTACAAGGGATCTGGGACCACTATTATATACAGTTCCGAAACATTCCTAAAGTGCAAATAAACCAATGTTGAAATATGTTGCAATTATTATCCTTACGCAAACACAGATAAACCATCATTCATGGTGGGATTACTCCAATATGGTTCCATTTTGATCCATATGGACAATCAAAGGGAACAGGTCCCACACCAGGCTTTCGATCCGGAGAGTCATTTTACCCATTCAGGGGGAGATGCTTAATTTTGTGCATCCCATGAATCTCATGACAGTCCACTGAAGGCATTATCCTTGAACCGCGAAGCAGGGGTGATTTGTGGTTCTTGCGGGTAACCGGGCAAACCACCCAACATTGTATAATGCCAATTGATGACTAACAGGTTTTTATGGTGGTGCGATAAATGCAGTGTTCCCAGTGCCCTCAAGGCCCGCACAGTATGTTCTGAAGGAGACTTGAAGGTAATGTACTGCAAATCATAGGTCCTGCCTAGCAAAGCCAAAACATTGGCCAGGTTTTGAGGTCTTGAGTTGGACATCAGAACTGATGATGCTTTCATGCCATGTGCAATTTTCCAGGAGCTTAATAAATAGACCTTCAACTGCACAACTGCTTGGCGGGTTTAACCCCTTAGAACATCTCATTTATCAGTGATCAGCATCCCAAAAATGTTCGAAAATCAAACAGATCCATATGATACCACCCAAATTCATCATTACCATAGGTCAAACGGGGTAAACTACAGTAACATGTAAAGAAAAACACATAGTTTCCATAGGACAATGATCTACAGTGGATTTTCATGTTAGTGTGGAGGGAAAGATATTCAACTCCTTGGGCTATCCCTGAATTCTTCCAGGCCGGCCTTCGAAATGCACCGGGAACTGCTCCGGATGCAGCACCTGCACCTCCCAGGTGACAGGTCCTGGATGGAGCGTCACGTTGGCGGTCCAATGAGCCAACGACCAGGCCTCGCTCCAAAACTGCCAGCCGCGCCCGCTGTTTTTCGCCAAGTTCGCTAAGTTCAAACATTTTCGGAGACTCCCCGACTCCCCATGGATTTTTTGCGGTTCACCATTTTTTGTCCAACCTTGGATGATTTCACCATGGTGTCCACTTGGAGCCGGGCAAAGGGTCCCAGTTGCTGGCCCTCCTTGTTGGCCAAGGTCCTGCCGTAATTTCGGACCTGTATCTCCTGGGTGACTATGTAATGCACATCCCTTTATTCCACCGTGGCTAATGGGATGAGTTATAATATGTTTATAACTCCACTCAGGTGAAATCTATCACTTTGTGAGTTTTCTTCAGACACTTATAAGTGAGAAGGCCAACTACAAGTACACTTTGGAGTGATTCATCGGTCGTTTGCATCGGACGTTTTTTTCAAACAGGTCGAGGCCCACGTCAGGTTCAATTCCTCCACCAAGCCGATGGTCCTCGGAACTATTTCATCGGGTGGTTATTTTTTGACGCAACGGTTACCATTTCCAGTAAAATGAGTAAGTTAACATTATTACTATACAACCTATCATCATAATATAATGGTAATACTATGCTAATTATGATGTATATCATCCTATAATATGATATATATGAGATATGAGTATCACAGTCATCGCTATACCTATCATCATGATCATTACCCTCCGGCAATCAAATACGGCGGGTCGCTGGGAGACACCCATTGCCATTGGTATTTAAATGGAAAAAACATCAACGGAGAATTGTCCAGCAAACCAAATTTGAGTACCAGTATCAGGGTTGAACTCAACGCATGCTACTATACGAGTTGTTCATATGAAAATTCAATTCTTATAAATTTTATTGGTTCCCTCAGTTCCCCCATGAAATTTCCCGTGTCAATCAGCACTCTATGGTCACCCGATGGTTGAAATCCAAACCACTTATGGTCATTCTTGGGATGGTGGGCCCTGAGACAACTGGCTTTGACACCGAGCTGCTTGGGGATGTCGATCGGCGACTGGGCGGTGCTCCTGTCAGGATACACAGCTGGAAAATTGGCAAAACAGATACTTTAAGTGGCTATTGAACAGATTATTAACTGGAAAATCACCTTTTTTTTAATAGGTAAACAGGTGGTAAATCATCCATTTTCCATATGTTAAATAACCAGATCGTAAAATATATGGTTGTGTCCGAAAATAGGGTGCTCCTAAATTTTGTGGTTGTATAATTATAACTTTCCGTGTATTGAATTAAATTGAAGTTTTTGAAGTTTGGGGGTATACTCCATTTTCAAACACATATGAGCCGCGGATTTTATTTGGTACATAATGCAATTGACGGGGTATTCCTACCTCATTCTTGAATCCTGTAATGTTTTTTGGAGTCTGACCAAGTTTTCCAACGCCCCTCTTGTTTTCAGTAGCTAAATCCTGTACATGAGATGCCTACCTCGTTCTCGGGGTGTTCCTATACCTCGTTTTACGGTCTAATCATGATGTTTTCGGCAAACCGGGGTGCACCCCGATTCTTCTCTCCATTTGACCAAATAAAAGCCGTCGCTCATATAGAAAAATCACCTGTTTCCCCACCATTTCGCCATTATATGTTGGAGCACCCCTGATTCTCCTTTCATTCAGGGTTAATGACGTTAAACTACGGAATTTTGGGTCTTTAGACCCAGAGCGGGTTGCCAGTCAAGCCCTGCAAAAATGTTGTATCATTGGCGAGTGACACGCAATTCATCACCTTTAAAGGGGTAACTCAACCAGCAGCACCCTCTGGATCAATGGATCAAGTTCTTCAATACTGCCCCAAGACTGCACGGTTTCAACCTTTTTACCCAGTTTACTACATTCAAATATGCCCAAGAGATGTCAGAAACCTTACTGTCTTTGCCGAGCTTGGCGTGTGGAGATGACGAAAAAACACCCCCAGCTCTAAAGCCTGCAGTGCTCTGGGATGCCCAACGAGGAGCAGCTGGCACCGATGATGTCCTTCCAGTACCTGGTCAGATCTGGTCAGTGAAGATGGTCCGATCCACCACCGGTCCACTTGGTGGCTTGAACACCCTATGAAACACAGAACTCAAGTGGGATCATCATCGCAGATAGGGATGATGTAAAATGATGTATAAAAATAACAGTAACATTTGAAACCACCAGATGTTCGCCTGATTTTCGGTCCATATGCCTGCTCGGAGTTGAGAGCGAGGCAGCGCCTACGAGGAGACATCACAACCCTGCTACACCTGCATGCTGCTACTCTTGGCAGCAAGCGGCAAATGTCGAAGCACGCCAGCGTCACAGACACATGGTGTGGCCAGACGGCTCTCAAGCCAAAATTCCAGTTCCGGCCACGCTCTTGGGTCCCAAGGCAGAGAAATTGATGGTAGATACACGTGGATCACAGCAGAGCGAGGGAGCAAGCATCGCTGTCGGAACCATTTGACACGTTGCCGAAATTAAAAGATCTCAGCGGCAAGAGAAGGGCGATTGTCAACGCACTAACCACTCGAGCCTCCCCCGGAGTCCACTCAGCATGAAACGGAGGCACCAAAGAAACAAATAAAGCCAGAATAAAGCCGCACATCGGACAAGGGGACACGCCGAAGCCAAACGAGGCCACCAAACACCGTAAATAGCGGTGTTTTTCCCCACCTGCCAGGTGATGGTTGTTAGATTTTATCAGAGTTGTTCTTCTCCTTCTCCTTCTCCTTCTCCTTCTCCTTCTCCTTCTCCTTCTCCTCCTTCTCCTCCACCACCTCTGCATCCACTTCCAGGTCCACTTCCGCCACTTCCATGTCCACTTCTGCCTTGCCAACTCTTCGCCAAACTCTTCGCCAACTTCCGCGCGCAGTGGGCACTGCTGGACCTCAACTGCCGGCTTCCGATCTGAGTGGGCACGGCTGGACCTCAACCACAAGGGTCTGAGCGCAGTGGGCACCGCTGGACCTCAACCTGGGACCCTCCGAGCTCAGAGATCGCCGCTGGACCTCAAGGGCCAGATAGAATGCCAGAAGATATGCCAGATAGAACGGCAGATAGAATGTCAGATAGAATGCCAGAAGATATGCCAGATAAAGTGCCAGAATGTTTGCCAGATAGAATGCCAGAAGATATGACAGATAGAATGCCAGAAGGTATGCCAGATAGAATGCCAGAAGGTATGCCAGATAAAGTGCCAGAATGTTTGCCAGATAGAACGCCAGAAGATTTGCCAAATAGAATGCCAGAAGATATGCCAGATAGAATGCCAGAAGGTATGCCAGATAGAATGTCAGATAGAATGCCAGAAGGTATGCCAGAAGGTATGCCAGATAGAATGTCAGATAGAATGCCAGAAGGTATGCCAGATAAAGTGCCAGAATGTTTGCCAGATAGAACGCCAGAAGATTTGCCAGATAGAATGCCAGACAGAATGTCAGAAGATATGCCAGAAGATATGCCAGATAGAGTGCCAGAAGATATGCCAGAACATATGCCAGAAGATGTGCCAGGTAGAATGCCAGAAGACATGCCAGATAGAATGCCAGAAGATATGCCAGATAAAATGCCAGAAGATATGCCAGATAGAATGCCAGAAGGTATGCCAGATAGAATGTCAGATAGAATGCCAGATAAAGGGACCGAATGTTTGCCAGATAGAATGCCAGAAGATATGCCAGATAGAATGCCAGAAGGTATGCCAGATAGAATGCCAGAAGGTATGCCAGATAGAGTGCCAGAAGATATGACAGAACATATTGCAGAAGATATGCCAGGTAGAATGCCAGAAGATATGCAAGATAGAATGCCAGAAGATTTGCCAGATAGAATGCCAGAAGATATGTCAGATAGAATGCCAGAAGATTTGCCAGAAACAAAACGTATAAATGTCATGGTGGGGATAACTCGAAGTAAAGTAACTGTCACCTCACACACACGATCCACCGTAAATTACAGGGGCGTTGGTGGGTCGGTGGTCCGTCGGTCGCGGTCAGCGTATATAACCTTCGGTTACCACCGACGGCCCTCCGGGCAGCACACGGGCGTCGAGGCCGGCGCCCGGATTGATACACAACTGCTTTGCCAAGCTGCACCAAAACACCGGAGACAAGCATGGGTTCTTGGTTCATGTTGCAACGCGTGGCAAAACGAATGGTGGCCCAATCCAAAGAAGTTTGAAAATCCAACGGCGGATTGAGCACCAGCAATGCAAGTCCATGATTGGTCAACAGCTTCCCAGCGTGGAGAACAGGCAATTCTTCAGCCATAGTGGACAATACCGCAAGCGGTCCAATCTGCGAGAAGGGAACCTGGCCAACTGGCTCATCATTGCCAACACAAAAGGCTCCATGTTCAATTGTCAGCTTGGTAGGGTCAAGCTCTGCAGGCCTGGACGGCAGATTCTTCTTACCATCGGTCTTTTTGGGTTTGGAGGCTGGATTGGTGTTGCTTTGCTGGGCTTGTTCATCAGGCAGAACAAGTTGCAAAGGCGGAGTCTGCAAATTGGCCAATGCTTTCAGGAACTTCCATGGCGACACACCAAGAACAGCTTGCTGGACTTCTGACTTGCCCAACGCTTGGACAATCAACTTGGCACGCAACTGAGATTAGGCTGCTGGAACACCATGTCTTCAAATTCACTTGTGAGACCAAGGACATCGGGTTGACCCAGTCCCCAACACTACGGCTTGGGTAGTGTAAAAGTTCTGCAAGTGGCTGCATAGCTGTCTTTCAAGTCATTGTGCAAGGCAATCAATTCACCTCAGTGGATGGCAAATCTCCTCCGAGAAGCTTGTGGGTGATGGATGCAACAGCTGCTGCTCCACAGTAGCCCCTGGAAAAGGATCTACGGGAGCATGCCAACAAGAACAGTGGCTTGCTGAACGCAGTGCTGATCAAACCGAGGAGTGGGCTAAGGCAATCGATTTCAACTTCGGAGTGCTCCCACATGAATACCTGAACTTCACAAAGGCCAAGAGTCCACAGCACAGGCATCCAGTGATCTCAGACATGGACTACATTGACAATGCACTGGAGCTCCGGGAACTGCCTCGTCCATTCTTGCACGCAGTCAACAGACCCATTCTTCAACCAACTCAAAGCCAACAACGGATCCAAGTACTGAACATCAGACCGACCAGAAAGATTCAGGCATGCCCGCAAGTGCAATTGAGCTCGTCATCTCCCATGGCAGAGCCTTCATTGGCCAGGACCTCGACATCCGGGACCAGGGGTGGCAAGATGTTGGCAAGTCGAGTGCCAGTGAGAGATCGAAGTTCAAACAAGGCGTCCATCATCTGATGAAGTTCTGGGCGGCAACTGGAACAGAACTTCCGGTGATCCCTTCACAGGCACAGGACCGACTGAGACAGCAGGCGACCCGACAAGACCAGGCACAGTGGCATCAACAATCTCAACATCCCCAAAGTCCAATTGGATCTGTGCAAGCAAAGTTGGCTCAATCACTTGAGAATCTCTAGGCACGGATGCGGATGGTTGAGCTGCTCGGATGCATTCGCTTGCAACTGTTGCATTGAAATCTAAGGGCTGACCGGTGGAGTCATCAAGCCATTCTCCTTCTGCTGTTTCCTGGGTAAGGGCAAGTTCTGATTGAAACAGTTCAACCAAAGTGGTGCTTGGAGTGTGACCTGCGCATGTACATGAGTACCATCAGAATGCTTCAAACAAGTCCACTCAGCTACAGCAGGTGTGTTGGCCACATCTGGGAACATGTCCCTGACACATGCAAACAGCTTGCTACGAAAAGATGTGAGGACATCGACCGGATTAGGTGACATGTCAAAAACCGGAGCAAGTGTCGCATGATGCATGATCCCACCTAAGCTGAATGCAGCAGTGAGGCAAGTTGCCCGATGGCACTGAGGCACGGTCGAAGCGCATGTCTGTCAGGACCCATCCCATCAGCTGGAGGCACCATTCCATTGAGCATGGCAAGGTCACAGGGATGCAGGTGTCGGAATTTCCCCGGTCCTTCTGAAAGCGGCAACTGAACAAGTTGGGCATACCTCTCTGTCTGATCAAACTGTCACTGAAACCTGTGGTGCGACAGCCGCAGGGACACTCGGAGGCCTGACTGCCCCACGAGTGCAGGCAAGTTGGTGGTAACTTGCTGCCCATCTGCATGTTGTATTTGCGGAGTGTGGATCCATCCAAAGTAAACTGAGTTACTTCATGATCCGTCAGTTGAAGTTCCTGCAAGACCTCAGCCGACCATTGTCAAACAAACGGCATGACATCTCTGATGGTAGGCTTGGATTCTTTGGCAAATCTGGCGCTACCATGGGTCCTAAGGACGGATGAGTAGCAACAAACTACCATCGATACCGACATGCACACCAATTGTCTTCCAATTTCAAAGTGGGGTCTGTGAGATGATACCCCAACTTCGATTCCAACTGCCGCAAGCATGATTTGACATACTGATTGGACCAAGCTTGGGTGACACATTCAATCAAAAGGATGGGACACTGAAAAATGTGACAGGCACGGACAGTTGCTGGGACTGTATTGGGCCGGTCATCACCTGAGCCACACTGGAAATCGTGAAAGGTGGGTCAACACGCTTGGCAGCTTCTTTCAGGCATGAGATTATGGTGAAACTGGACCAACGGGGCACGCCACACAACACTGCACACATGTCGGAAACCAGCAGCTTCTAAGCCATGACTGGAGCAAGCCATGCCAGAGCACAACTCCACACATCTGAACAAGTCACAAGACCGGCGAAGTCCGCGGGCAATCACACTGGACTGGTCTGTAAGCAGCAAGTCCAACGGCTCACCAACAGAACCAACCAGCGCATCAAAAGCAGTGACCCGACGACATCCTCTGATTTGATGGTCAGTGGCCCCAACAACTCGAACCCTCTTTACATCAGGAAACAAGACACCAGTGACAGTGACAAGCTAGGCAGTGTGAACCAGGCAATGCACCTTTCTCAAGAGAACACCAGTCAGGATTCAGGATTTGGGAATCTGAGCGAGGAGTGTCCCAACCAGTTGACATGGCACAGCACGGGGTGTTACCAACCGCTCAAACTTGGCTAGCACGACCCAGCCCTGGTAGGTATTTGAGCCCGGGCAAAGAGGAAACCACCAACCAGCAGATTGACACCACGGAATCAAGGATGAATCTTACGCTCCCGAAGGGCCGTAAGGGCTCGACAGTATTTGGACCAAAATGGCTGAATTTTGGGGGTAGGCCGGGTAGGCCTACTATTCTTCGATGGCCCAATGTCAACCCAAACCTTTTAAAGATGGATTCGCTTATGGACAAGGATTTTATAGATGGAGTCTTTAGCTTGGTATTGTGCTATATGTGTGTCTTGTACACAACAGCCTTCCATGCTTCCTCGATCAACATTGGCATCGTTGGCTTTTGGGTGGTTGTAAAATCTGACCAAACCAGGTCAAGTTTGATCCGCAATCCACAGGAAGACATGGGCATATAGAGACGCAGTGATACATCTAGTAATATCCCAAATGTCTCGTTTATATATATATATATATATATGTATAATTTCATGATGATAGGATATTCTAGGATGTTCGAGGCCACTGATGATTACTGTAAATCTACAGCAATACATTCCAAACCTGATTTGTTTGGTTGTGGATGGTTCCATTCATTGGTCAAGTTCTCCTTTAAGGGACCCCATATTAAAAAAAACTCGCAAACATGCTTGAGCCCACTAGTAAAACAACAGCAATTAGTTGTTCACACATTATCAATATGTATCTAAATAAGTAAATAAATATATATATATATATATATCATATATATATATCATATATATATATATATCATATATATATAAATCATATATATATCATATATATACAGTATATATCATATATATAGAGTATATATTGATCATGATTGCCGTTTTCACAGGGAAAAAACAGATCCGATCTTCCCAGATCAAGACGTGTCCCTCTGAGGTTCAGGGCTGTGGGTACTGATATGACCAGCTCCTTAGTCACCAGGGATCACCGATCTGGCCAGCTACTGGCCAGTTACTGGCCACAACCAACACTAGAGAGAAAAAAAACATGCATGTCGAAAAATGATATGTACAGTAATATTGAAACTGTTATTGCCAAACACCTTGATTTACCTGACTTCACGTAATTTCACCATAGTTTTAGATGAAGTGACTCAGCTGAGGGATGAACCCATTCTTAACAGCCATAGGTTGGGGTACCCTCCATCGACAAATATCGAATCCATATCATATTGTTTAAATCAAGATCAACAAGAGGGTATCAAAACAATATCCATCTTGTTTGTTACAACTCATATCAATGTCCAAATCAAAATTTGGACATATCCCATGATATCCCTCTCAATATTGGCGGGGATATCACTCTGGTGGAATCGAAATCCAATCGTACCGACAGCGCAGGTATTTGGAAAACGACCAAGAGGGATCCAGAGGGGACAGTTACCATGCAAAGCTGTTACATTGCCGGAAAGTATCATGGAAATTGGTTGTATAATGACCAAAAACAGAATTTAATAATGAATGAAAATAATAATTAGTAACAACAATAAAGAAAAAAAACGTATATAAAATTGAAATGGAGATCATCTATGTGCCATGATTAAGTTTCATGGTAGTATAAGCGTTATGGTAACCTGTCATATAATGGAAAGTTGCTATTGACTTTAATATTAATCCCTATTAACGGAGGGATGACCTTCCGGTGACCATCCCGCAATATGGTTCCTGGGAGGCTGTTTGATCTCAGGTGGAAGAGGTTCTCACTTGTACTTCGGGGCGCATCCCGGTTCGTAAGTGGTCGATGACCTATGCAAGTATGCAAGACCGAGGTATATTCAGTATGTAATTTGGTCATTTGATACGCGCCATGGTCAAAACATGGTATATGGTGTTCGGTCATCACATCATCATTAGTGATTCCTCACAATGGGTACACTAACCGTTGTCAATGGCGGGGATGACCGGTACCCCTATTGTAGGTTGTCACATGCTATCACCTATAATCGCATATCATCACATTCACCAACAAACCAGGTAATCTAATTCTGCATCATCACCACAAATAGTAACTTTTAATGGGTCGTAGGGTAGTTATTTTCACATAACCCGCAACCGCGGCTTAAGTGGTGACTGGTAGCTGCACATCCAGCGATTCATCACTGGGCCATCCAACTCCAAAGACGGAAAGTCTTGGCCCAAGGCATCGAGCCTTGGCTTGGCGGCTGAGGATGGAAGGATGATATCATGGGGATAAAAAAAAGAATAGCTATATGGGATAAAAATAAGATAAATTTAAAATGATAGTACAAGATCGTATTGTCAATATTTATACATCCCATGTTAATGTAGACACATGAAAATATTGCAGCCTCAATATGTTAACTATACGAGCACACACCCCGCCCAAGATCATGGGCAGCAGTTGAATTCTACATTCAATTGAGAAGATCAACAACATTCAACAACAATATTGAGGAATCTAAACTCCCATCCCCGGAAAACGTCGCATTGAACTTCGCGGAATATAAACTCCCACCCCCATAAAACTTCACATTCAGTTGGACAGATCAACAAGGGTATTGAGGAATATAAACTCCCACCCCTGGAAAAGTTGACATTCAGTTGGGAAGACCAACACAGGTATTGAGGAATACAAACTCCCAAAACTTCGCAGTGAAGTGCGAAGATCAACACGGGTATTGAGGAATATAAACTCTCACTCCCGTAAAACTTACATTCAAGTGGGAAGACCAACACAGGTATTGAGGAATTTAAATTCCCACCCGCGTAAAATTTCCCATTCAGTTGGGAAGATCAGCAAAGGTATTGGTGAATATAAACTCCCAAACCACGTAACCTTTCACATTCAGTTGGGAAGATCAACACAAAAGTATTCAGGGACATACAAACCCACCCGCCTTGAAAACCAAACCCCCTAATGACAAATTCTTGATTTCATCAGGTCTGTCCA